CGTTGTATTATTACGAACAAAATAGAAAATTGATGGAGATTGGGAGGTTGGAAATAAGAAGGGAGAAAATATGTCATTGATTTGAAAAAAAAAATGAAAAAATTCCAAGTAATTTTCTTTCTTCGAATATCTAATAAACGTGAGTGATTTGATAAATGTCAATGTTAGAAAAAAATTAATTATTTATGAAATAATAATAATAATAATAATAATAATAATAATAATTCGCGTTATTTATGCTGTTAGAATATTTTTAGAGGTTTTTTTTACGTTGTCGAGTTTCGAGAATTATGTTTTAAAATTTTGTGTTTTTTTTTTTTTTTTTAATAAAATTACATAAGAGGAAAATTTTTGCATGTATAACCGACAACTGGTTATCATCAGTTGTTTTTTTCCAAAAAAATTAATTATTATCTTTTATTTTTGGCATTTATGATTCTCTACTTTGCATTTACGTAGATAAAACCATGGTTGACGAAAGAAGAATATTTTTCAAATGCAACATGGTTGCATTACAAAGGTATTTTTTTATTTATTTTTTTTTTTTTTTTTTTTTGACAAATGAGCCGTTCAGTGCACACATCGATTAACTCCATAAAACAAAATGTTGAGAAATGCGATGAAATAAATGTATATTGTTCTTTAAATTCCTATCAATGGCCAACACAAAGTTTTGTCATTTAATGGTGTTAATCTTTATTATTCAGAAAAGTTATGATAAATATAAAAAGTTATGACTATACCAAGTGCTTTGACACTGAAATTTAAGATTTGTCAAAAAGTGGAATTAATCGATGTGTGCACTGAACGACTCGAATTATTACGCGATAAAAAAGTTTTAAAATAAATCGTAGATATTTCTTTAAACATTTGTTTCGTTTTAATTTTGATTATATTAGGTCGTACAAAAATAAAGATATTTCTCTTTTTTTTTTTTCTATCTACTTTTATTCTACTAAAAAAGAAACGAAACAGATAAAGAGACAGAGAGAGAGAGAGAGAGAGAGAGAGAGAGAGAAGTGAGACATAAAAATTATATGTGAACACGAAATCATTTTCTATGGATTTACTACTAGCAATTTCTTTTATCTTATCTCACATATACATAGTTATTATCTAAAATTTATCTTCTCATTCTTTTACATTCCGTCTGCATTTCTTCTTCGAATGATTTTCTCAACCAATTTAAAATGTTTTTTCCTAAAAAAAAAAACAAGATAAAAAAAAATTTGCTTCTTCTTTGTTCCTTCAATCGAGTCATTTGCAAGAAAATCCTTTTTTTTTTCTCGCCTAATCCTATTTTAACAGATTATATTATTTATTTCTTTAAATCTTTCTTCGTAAATTTACTTCACGAAAAGAAATCAAGAAAAAATAAGAATATAAGAAAGAAAAGAAAAGAAAAGAAATGGAAACGAAATATACGGCAAAACCCGATAAGAATATTAAATGAGAAGAAGTAGTAGTAGTAGTAGTAGAAGTAACAAAACCTGAAAACATAAAATAATCTATAAATCATACCACGATGTAACATAAATTTAGAACTAAAAAAAAAAAAAAAGAAAGAAAAAAAAAACAAAACGAAACGAAAACATAAAAAAATAAACTTATGAGGAAGGTGTAACCATATGTCGTTGATAAAAATCGAAAAAAAGCTTTGGTATATTACGTATTTACATATACATACATACATACATACATACACATAGGTTAATTACTGTCGACTATCAAACTTTTCTATCAATTTTATACGCCTCGTAAAACATATTTTATGCGACACGAAATAGTATCAACAACAACAACAACAACAAAAATCGATATCATCTAACTAAACCATCTAATTTTTGCAAATACATTTTTTTTCTCTTCTTCTTCTTCTTCTTTTTTTTTTTATTATGACATTGAAAGTGAAAAGTGTTTTATGATCGTTTTAAATCTTTCTTTACTTTCTCTCTCTCTCTCTCTCATTCTATTTTTATTTTAAACATAAACTTGTTTTAAACGAACCGCGTGACTTGTTTCTTTCTGTTTGAACCAAAAAAAAAAAAGAAAAGTAGAAAAAAAAACTATACATAAAAAGAATAAAATATAACTAGTGGTAGTACAGTAACATGGTCATCGACCTTACTTAGTAAAATCCTAATCGATAATACCTTCGTGTATCGAGATTGGTATAAAAGGGTTCGTTAAAATGTTTAACGAGAGACAAGTAAAAAGAGTTTTCTTCTTCTTCTTCTTCTTCTTCTTCTTTTTTCTTTTATAAATAGAATAGAATTAGAAGAGTTATAGGTGAAACTCACGATTCCTAGTTGTATTTAGTAGGAAGTTACTAAATGGGAGGTTGAGTGGGAGGTAGGTACTAATCGATGATGAAAGTTAATTATTAACTATGTTTCCCCAGAGGCTATATATGCTAGAAGATGCTCAATGTACAATGCATTTGCATTTATATTAACAATATGCACAGAAACGTTAAGGGGGGAGGGGGAGGGGAAGGTGA